TTTACACTTTTTCCACCAGCTTGCTACCAGGTTCTGGGCCATCAAATGGTCTGATGAGCTGTTTGTTATATTTGGCCAAATTGCTGTTGAAAATATCAGATTTTTCGGCCAGTTTCAAGCGCACATGAGCACATAATTGTAAGATCTCTCTTAATAAGACCGCCCACATGACTCTCTTGCTATAGACAACAAATGAAGCGAAAGTGAACGCAAGTAAAATAACATGTTTGGCCTGACACAATTCTACAGTTGTTAAATTGGGCCTAATTTCTTAAAGAAAATCAGCCCATCAAGTGTAATAGCAAACACACCACATATGGCAACCTCTTCTTAAAAGACACCAGCACCTAATCGTATTAGCATATATTCGTTGGCATATACCTAGCGCTGGACGAAGAAGGTACATGCTCGGGTACATATTGGCATGTACGCAAATGTAACAAAACTGTGGAGGCTTCAAACTAGGACACAAATTATTTGGCACAAAAAGGGGTCAGCGTGTATCAGAGAAAAATCATTCGAGCAAAGATCAAGATGAAAGTATTTCCACCCTGGCCATAGCTTCCTGGGTCTTCGGGAATTGGTGGTACTTTGTCAGGCTCTCTGTCTATTTTTCCATTTCGTACACTTACAGGTTGGATGAGATCATCCAATTTCATTAGCATTCGATGCTGTGCTTAGTTGACGGAGCGAAACGTTAAATGAGTTATGAAGTTGAATATGTATCAAGTCTGAAACAGAACTTTGCACTTGCCGCAAGATTAGTAAACATACATTTAAATGGTTTTCAAGAGAAAAATTCGTTAGAAGCGGGTCCAGAGACGGCCCAGATTGGCGGTTGAACAACCGAGGATCGCACTCTCATCTCATTCATCAAACCATAGTTTAGACCAAACAGTTCTGAGGAAATGGTACATTTTGCAGGTCAGACATTTTTATGAATATACAGTGAAAAATGCAATTAATACAGACCACACAATTTCTTAGGTCAGAGTAGATACGATGACAAAGTCTCATACAACCTCTAGTGGGCGATATAAATTCGGTTTCATATAAAAGATGAATTTCTGTTTATCATTCACCCTTTTCACAGGCTAACTTATTAAATAGATTGTAGAGAAAGCGATCTTGAGATGTTTATGCACATTTAAGCATATATAACCAATTAACCTGCTAGGCATGTGGATTGTCCTGGGTTGTACCGATTAATTTCTATCCACTTGTCTGTTATTGATACGTTTTGACTGTCCTTCAATTAACAAAATATTAGTTGCTAGCATTAATCCCATCCTGATATCCTCCTCCACGTGAAGTAGCTCTTAACTATTCTACATTAGAGGTATGCAAACTATAGCGTGGAAGCATTCCAAGCAATTCGTATGCGCATTCTAAAGCAGAATAAGCATCATTTCACTTTTGGGTTCACTAGTAATATGTCCTTTTGGCCGTTTTTTCTTTATGGAAATATATCTTAGCGCTATTTTAGTTGCATGTGATAGGCTATGCAAAATTTCCAAATTAGGAAAAAAGATTGAGTCTGCTATCAATTATTAGCCTACTGGTAAAAAAATGATTTAATCCACAAATTGACTACAAATCAGGTATGGATAGGCCAAGTGAGCAAATTAGAAGGAATTTATCGTTATTAAAGCATTTCACATTAAGAATTAGCAACTAATAGTGGTCAGATATAATAGATATACTAATATACTATAATATAATGTATATGATATATAATAATAATAATAAATTAATGTTAATTCGATATTAGCTGC